TATATATATATATATATATATATATCCTTGTGGAGGGTCGTTTGGGGATCTTGTGGTCACCCATGTGCATTAGTACTCTATATTTGGCTCTTCGAAAAGTATGACTGGTTCTGCACAATTCTTCAGCATTGTAATTAAATCATATGACCGGTCAGAACAGAACTACTGGATTCATACATCGTAAAAATCACGTCCCGTTATCTATCTATCTATCTATCTATCTATCTATCTATGTTCAAATATATCTATTTAAATTTTGTATCTATCTATCTATCTATCTATCTATGTTCAAATATATCTATTTAAATTTTCTATCTATCTATCTATCTATCTATCTGCAGCATACCCATAAGTACGTAGCTTAATGGTTAAAACAAGCAACACCTTTTCGGATAGCAACATCGGAAATGTACTTTCTTGCAAATTCTTTTTAACTAGTATTTCTCTGTTATTCGCACAGGTCAAATATTATACATATATTATTTCAGCTCTAAATTCAGTTAATATCTGTGTGAGACAACGTCCATATTTATTCGGCTTTGTGGGTTTATATATGTTTATATGCGCACGCCAGTGTGTATAAGTATTCGACTACGATAGGGTGTACCTCTATAGATGTTTATCGCTATCTGTGCGGGTGGGCATTAATTATTGTCGGTGTTTTAAGAGACGTTTCTGCTCTCATTTGTGGGTTACTCACGCCCCCTTTTTTTTAAAAAGAAATTAATTAATTAATTATTCTCTAAATACTGTCTAGACACCCCGGCTTTCTTTAGCCAATCTAAGAAGGGGCATGCTTCAGATTAATGTGAATCTCTTTCAAAAAGATAATGTCCTTTTTCAAATAAGCTGCCACACACATGCACACACACACCGCGCTCTCCTTAGTCGTCCTTCTGTCGCCATTGTTGCTTGCGTCTTCATTCCCACCAACGGCAGCTCTGCATGATATTTAGCGAGGAACACGCTAGTGCGACTCAGCCAAGCCGTGGCGCGCAAGGAAGCCAACTTGTGTCATGCGACGTTGTTGTGCTCCTTGCTGTTCCGACTCAGCCACAGCACCCTGATGCTTGTCCTTGTTAATGCCAGCAACGAGGGTCCATAGGGAAACGTCTCTTCATTTATTTTCCTTTCTCCACTTTCGCAAATGGGTGAAAAGTGATGAAGCCTGCTGAAGCGTCTACACAAAATATAGATAACAACAGCGCAAAGCTGTAGGAAGAAGCCATCTTGAATCGAACGTCCGTAGGACAATTTCTAAAAACTCGATACGCCTGTGCAGGCAAAAAAAAAAAAAAAAAAAAAATAAAAGAGTTACCGATGTGGCAGGGAATGAACAAAACGTCGGAAAAAAGGTTAATTACAGAGGCTTCACTAGAAAAAATACTGATTATGATAAAACACAAAAGGAAACCATTTTCGGCTATGTCATGGAAAGACGACGAGACAGTTATGTCCCTTGTTCCCAGCACTCGCCTAGACACATTATATCACTTTCTTGCATGTGACCTTTTCCATTTGCTGTATAACTTTTAGTCTTTCACTCCTCCCTCAGCTGCACCCTCTTCTCTCTCTCTCTCTCTCTCTCTCTCTCATACTTTCTACAGACATCATAGCCGAGAAAAGAGGTTGTGTTTATATCTTGCAGACAGGGTTCAAATCATAATCTTCAAAACTTGATTAGTCAGGAATATAGCATACGCGCAGCCATAGCCAGCTGGTCGATCAGAAAAAGCGTTCAATTAGAATGGAGCACAAACAGCATCATATTTAGATATAACAGAGACTATGTTCATCATTAAAAACATTTTGAATTAACGCAGTTACTGATATAACAGAAGTAGTCTGTATTTATTCAGTCGAAGTTAGCTGAGGACATGAAGGGGTAAAACGGGCAACATGAAGTCCCACTTCAGACCACAATTATTTTGGAGTTTTTCAAATTCAATTTGGCAGTGTGCTACCAGGGAGGATACATTTATAAAGCAATTGTTAAGTTTGATGAAAATTGGATGAAAGATCAACGAAAAATAAGAAAGAAACCAGTAAAAATTGCCATTTTTCACTATTTACGCGGATTTTCACTATATGGGTGGACTCAGTTATCAGGTAAAATGACTGTTAAATAATCAACTTATCGTGAAGTTTGTATCAGATTGCTTGAAACTTGAGGGAATTTCTAGTTTAAAATTTGTGTTGAAATCGATTTTTCGTTTTTCGCGGTTATTTGCTAAACGCAGTGGCGTAGAAATAAAAATGAGGTATCGGTGAGCTCGTCATGATATAAGTAATCTGCATACCAAGTTTGAACGAAATCAAAGAAAAAAATTGAATTTATAGATTTTTGATCGACTTTAGTGATTATTGATTTTGTAAAAATTATCGATTTTTTATGCTAAAAACCTATCTCTTACAATGTAGAATGTATGCGCCAAGTTTGGTCAAAATCGGTTGGATGGATCTCGATTGAAAAGGTATCACACACTGACTGACAGGCACACAGATATCCTCTGTTATATATATATATATATATATATATATATATATATATATATATATATATATATATATATATATATATATATAGAGAGAGAGAGATTGCGCTAAATGCTTCTGTGATAAGATAATTTTATTTTTCTGCCATTTAATATGGTTGTAAACTTGTAAAATCTCTCGTGCCCAACTATTCACATGAATGAAACTTCTCCCAGGCAAGGCGGGGTGTATTTTTTCACGCCCACAACTTTCAAATGTTACTGTTTCTTTGCAGTTGAGGTATTGATTTGAAACTACATACATGTTACTAAATATAGACTGTCGTAAAAAATATAGTCATTCTAAAGGTAATTTTGAATATAGTCAATATTCTTTTTGTTTAATAATTGCTGACGTAGCATATTTTTGTTGGCATACGGACTTTTGTAATTTTCGAAAATTAGTAATTATCTTACTTTAGCCTTCCAATGACGTTACATTATGACTTGAGTAAAGAAATATTTCAAAGTACATTCAGCAAGAATTCTTTGGATTTTAAATATAGTTGCCGAATTGAAGCATTTGATTTATTGTTCAAAGACTAGTATTTTAGGACGTCGCTAGTACCACACCCAATACAAATATCAAAATAAAAGGTTAAAAAATAATCCTAAAAAGATTCAAACAATGTTATCCATTTTTTTTTTTGAGCTTTCATAGGCTGGGCAGAGTATTGCGAGACAGGATGATTTCTTTGGCAAAAAAGAAAAGAGTACTGAGCTGCTACGTAACGTATGTCCTCCTTTACGGCAGCGAATATTAGACTATTTCCTCAAAGATGGACTCGATGCTAGAGAGATGTGGTTCTACAGAAGGATGCTAAGGATATCATGGATCGAGCGTTTGAGCAACGTTGAGGTCTTAAAGAGGAAGCAAACAAGGAATAAGCTTATACTTAACATCAAGGAGAGGCAGCTGAATTTTCTGGGACACATAATGAGGAAGGAGTGCCTGTAGAATCTGATACTCACGGGTCGGATAGAGGGAAAGAGAAACAAGTGAAAACAATGCATAACATACTTAGCTTCCTTAAGCAAGTGGATGACAGAACGTGGTCTGGGGGAGGTGGCGGAGGAAAGGAACTTGTTGAGAGCTACAAAGAATAGGGGGAGGTGGAGAGCGATGATCGCCTACATCCTAAAAAAAAAAAAAACACAGCACATAGAAAGAGAAAGAGTAAAAAGCCCCTCCACTCAGCACATTTGAAAACGCCAAATTAACCTACTTCAAGTATTTTTAAATATTGTCCTATTCCTTTCCATTCTATAGATGGATATCCTTATTTTATTTCTAATACTTTCAACTGACTATTATACTTCTCGATTTATTATTATTATTATTATTATTATTATTATTATTATTATTATTATTATTATTCTCAGGTTTTGTCTCGACCGATGCATTCAGCCGCTTATTGACAGATCTTGCGATTTATTCGCGTTAGTATCCCATTTCCTGTTCTCTTTATTCTGTTGTCAATCGCAAATGAACTAATAAAAATGATCTCATAAATTTCTATTCTCACCATAACAACAGATTAAATTTGGAATAATAATCAGATACTATTTAAGAGGGTTCAGAATTTGTAGTCCACAGTATTTATATGAAGATGAGAAATACATTGAACGTACTTTTAAGCTTCTCCAATACCCTAATTATTTCATATTCAACACGAGACAAAAGGTTGGTAAAATATTTAAAAATAGTGGGCCATTCTGACAGACCCAACAAATCAAAAAAGTTATTTTATCAACTAACTATATCACAACTGCAACTGAAAATAATTAATTTAAGCTTAATATACAATTTGTTACAGCTACTTCTAAAACAATAAAAGACTTAATGCAAAACAAAATAATAATAAGCTTAAACTTGACGGAGGAATTTACTCTATCACCTGTAATGATTGTCACAAGGAATATATAGGTGAAACGTCAACGAATTTAAATAAAGAATTATATGAAGACAAAAGAGATTTTTTAAAAAACAAGACACTCATTGCATAAATTGCTCACCGTAATGAGTCTAACCACAATTTAGATTTCAAAAATAATATTTTAATTAAAGAAAAAGCAATTTACTTATATAGAAAGTGCTTTGATTGCTTAATCCTATTCAGTAAACTTGCATACAGGTTATTACAACCTTTCTCTGCAGATCTTCGATAATCATAATGTGGGATGGTTAGTAACAAAAGTGATACATATATAAACAAAAAAGAAAAAAAACTAAATAAAGTTGACTAGACTCTATATCCAAACACATACTAAAAATGAAATTTAAAAGTTTAAAATTTCAGCGTTACCTCTCCTTCGTGCACATTTTAGTCTGATGAAGTCCTAAAGGTCGAAACGCGTCACACGAAACATTTTTTTTTTACTTTGTCGTTCATTTTCCTTACTGTTTATTCTGTAACTAACATCATTCTATGACATCAGGACGCGTTTTTTCATTGTGCTATTTAACCCATGCATGATCCCCAGAAAACAAGAAGGCCTACCTTGATTTATCATTGGCAGACATAGTTTTAAACACTATAAATTACACAGATGACACTCTACTGATGGTAGACCCCCTCACCCCCCCTCACCCCCCAAAAAAAAAAAACAAACTCATAGAGCAAGGGATAGTGATAAGAATAGACTATCAAATATAAGAAGACAGAATGCCTGGACGTTAGCAAGAAAGGCGACCGACTGTGTGAACTTCGAATTGGAGACAATCAAGCAGCTCTGGAAATTTAAGAACTATATCTAGAAATTTAAACGACAATACATAACGGAAAGAACAACGGTAGGGGCGATAAGCATCGGAATAACGAAAGATGCCTTCCAGAAACTAAGCAAAGTATTAAATCTTCTGAAGAAACAAAGAAGAGAACGCTGAAATGTTATATACCGTATTTGACGGCGTATAAGGCGCAATTCTTTTTACTAAAAATATCTTTTAAAATCCCTCTGCATCTTATATGCCATATGTAGGTTTAAAATTCGCGATAGTCGGCCGAAATTAGCTACCTGGCAGCTCCTGTTAGCTTAGACTATAGAGTAACTTTCATATACCTATTGTCATTATTTAAAAGGCTATTATGCAGATTAAAAGTGTTATCATTGATAATATTCATTATATTAATTTTATAACGTTTAATATTAGTACTTTGTTTCACTAAAATTATATGCAATAAATTCAAATTATATATTTGTAAGATATATTTGTTTCATTAATATTTTTATTGCGATAACTTCCGTTTGCATTGGTATAAATACAATCAGAATTTTTATATCCTAATTATTCCATGATAGTAGTACTGAAAATGAGTATAAGAGTTTTGATAATGAAGACGACGAATTTTATGGATTTGAAGATGAATAAAATTTTAATGGTACTGTACTGTTTTGCTCAATTGTAATAATTACTTGATTTTTATTTTGTTTTCTTACCTTTGGATATAATGAAGTTTTTATAGGCTCGTGTTTTTTTTTCCTATTTGTTATGATGTTGATTTGGGGTTAGTAGAGACAAACGCCAAATAACACGTAACAATAAAAAGGGTTTTAATAGGTTGGTAAATAGGTACAGAAATCGCCTGAGTATTCAATAACTAGCTCAGCTAAGAACTTCTCTGTCTAGCTATCTTCATGTCGACTGACATGCCACTATTTAAAGTCTTTGTTTACAGACGCCGACAAGTTCATCTTCAAGAGGGGTGGTAGGTCTCCGACACAACACTATTATTTTTCGTTTAAATGCAATCATGGCTTGTTTTACGAAAATATATATTTGTTTTTCATAAATATAGCCTAGGCTGTACCATTTACTACTAATTTTACTAATTACTAATTTTTTCTTGATTTGCCCTGCTGAAATTGGGATGCGTCTTATACACCATGCGTCTTATATGCCGTCTAATACGGTAATTATCTACCCACCACCCCGCATGGCGGTGAATGTTGGACAATTTTCTTACAGATGTACGAAAAGACTCAATGCGACAAAGATGTAGTTCTATAGGCGGATGTAGTGAGTACCGTTGCCAGAGTGATTCAGGTTGAATTTTTACTTTCTGGGGTTTGATGTGTTACACATACTGATATCAAAGTTTAGATTAATAGCTTTTACCAATTTTGGAGCCTCTACTTTCAAAACCGTCTGAAATAATTCCTGCAGGTTTTTGCTTACAAATTGACTTCCAAATTTTACTATTTCAAGAAAAAATCTGAATAAAGTTGATATCTTTGTGCATTAGATACAAGAAATATAAAATATATTCAAACCAGAAATCAATTAAGAATCATCACAAGCAAGGCATACAATTTCTATTACTGTATTCATTAAGTAAAAAAATTGTAAAAGATTACAAAAAATGGCTACTCAATAGATAAAATTTGTTAGATACTAATTAATAAAAACAAAAAAAAATCGATAAAAGTGTATATAACACTATATAAGACAAAATATTTTAAAATTTGCATTGTTTACTGAAAATCACATTAAAATTACTGCACTCTATAACACATTAAACCGTAGCTAAATTGTTCATGAACGATTGAAATAAATTCGATATATATATATATATATATATATATATATATATATATATATATATATATATATAATTCCAGGAGCATTTCCACCTTACTCAAGATGATCTTAGCTCTCTCTAACCTTCTAACTTTCTGTTCTGGAGTAACAAGGTGCCTCACACGTTTCACGTATGATTTCATTTTCAAGTCTTTTTTCCCTTCTCTTTGGACTGTCATAGGTGAAACTCCTCTCTCACGTGCCAAACGTCTTATGAATTGAATTGGATCATTTCTGATTGATCTCTTTAGCACTAAGTTGAATAATGATCCCTCTTTCTGTTGTGAATTCCTGATCCAGTTTTCTTCTACTGTTCCCTCTTTTTTAAGCGTATTTACCGTCTTGATTGGAATTTGAAGAATGGAAGCCAGATTATGAACATTGGTGCCATTACTGAAGGCCTGAATTATCTTTTTCCTCTCATCATTGCTCAGTTGGGAAGACAGTGGGTCTGACACAAAACGATTATTTCTATTTGAATAACTCAAATGGTTTTTACTGATTCTTAGAATTAGTGTCAAGATGGCTAAGTGGTTGTTTAGATATTAAACTTTTTGTTGGATGAATAATTAAGCTGTAACACTAATTTGGACAATTTTGCCGTTACATCCGGTATATCGTGTCAGTACAGAGTTTAGCATCATAATTATATTCTCTCTCCTTGGGAGGAGGGTGGGTTAAAAGGTGTCATTTATTATAAATAGCTGGAACCTTAAAAAAAGCTCTATTAAATTTATGTAACAAAATTTGAGTAAACAATGGAATTATTTGATTGGTTGATTTGTTTTCTAGGAATTATAAACCTTTTGCCGGTCATTTATAGCACGAAAATATATTTAGATGTTAAGAATTATTTTTCGTGATAATAATGATTACTAATCATTAAGTTTTACTAATTAACCAATAGCTGGTGGGGGACTAGGTGGATTCAATCCTCCCCCAAGGGTACTTGCGCGTAAGTAAATGTACCGAACCCAACTGGAATTGGAACTCTGCTCTTCGATTAACAATTCCGAGCCATTATCCATTACACCACCCGCACTTCCAAACTTAAAGCAGCTGGTGTTCTCAAGCGGTCACCTATCTAAGTACTCACCACGTTCGATGTTGCTTAACCGGATGATTGTACGGGAACTGATGTTGTCTCCGCCTTAACCTGGTATTGAACTCACGCTCTTTGGGTCCTCTTACTGGATATAAGTATCGCTTTTGTGACGACATGTGACCTTAAGCCACCATGTGGAGAACACGTGAGCAAGAAGAGAATTCTAAAAAAAAAAACGGAAGTGGCTCAGATACATACATAAGATCAGGCCATGACAGTTGAAATCTTCGGGACACATTATGAGGAAAGAGGACGTGGAAAATCAAACACTAACAGGACATAATGAAGAAAAAGATGGGCAAAAGGAAACAAGCGAGTAACCTACTATAATGCGTTTGGGTGAAGGGGTAGCAGAGGCGGGGACAACGAGTGTGAAATTCTCAAACGTTGCTCAGAGACAGGAAGTTGTAGAGAGCCATGATCGCTTATGTCCTGAAGGGAAACGATGCATATAAGAAGAACCCACGAGCGTTTTCTATTGTGTGTTTAATGCAACAGAACCTGGAGGAAAACCTCAGAAATAGTTTTTCCTAATATTTTGTAACGATCACGAAACCTATAAGCCATTATAGTGATAGGAGCACTACATATACTGCAGCCATGGGCTCCTAGGCGTGGTGTAATGGTTAACAAGCTTGAATCCCTAAAACAGTTATGACTGAAAAGTAAGTTCAATACTCAGTGGGTACCCCATACTTTCGGCCTTGTGAAACATCTAAGCTATGCTTAGTAAAACATTTTACGACTGAAGAGTGTGTTCGATCCTGACTGGATGCACTGCTCTTTCAGCCTTGTGCCACATCTAAGCTACGCCTTTGCAGGGTGGTTTAAATTCAGAATTTTCCTTTTAGACTAAAATGGAACCCAGTCTATCCTGCTATTTACCCATAGCTGGGGAAGAAGAGATAAATTACTACCTTTCCCAATTAGATTAGCACGCAAGTGAATATAATGAACTCGACTGAAATTCGAACTCGGCTCTCCGAGACGCTATTCATTGCTCGACTGCGCCTTTATTTTCTATCGAAACAGTAAAAACCGGTATTTGCAAATCATTTATAAAGAAAAAAAAACAAAAAAACACGTGTTATTTGAGTGGTGTAATATTGACGATATGACAGGTTTCAAGAATTCGGTGTATTCTTTACTTACTGCGCATTCGCTGGCGTGTTACATTTGTATTATCTGTGGAAAGCCTAACTTGTTCTGAATAGAATGACGAGTTGTGAATGTTACCACTCCAGCCGTAATTTCTTATCGCTATATCCGCGATCTGTTCTCTGCTATGTTAAGCTGGTGTTGTGTTTTCCTGAACTATTGGATATCCGGTATGGCCGTGGTAATCTCGTTAGCTGAAAATGAATTCAAATCACAAGACCGTTCCGATAACAACGCACTCTTTAATATTATCTTCCGTCTTCTGTTTGTTTTTATCTGGAGCGACCACTAGACTCTACACCGTAAATCGTTTCCTTACATAGAAGCCTAACAATCGTAGCCAATTTTTCTTTCGTCTCCGTTCTTTCTTTGACGTCAGTTTCTTACTTTTTAACTAAACTCCATTCTTCTACGGTCGGTAAAAAAAGTAGTCTAATAACCAGGGGCAAAAAAACGGGCCTTACTGGCTGACTAAGGTGGCTCTCTCTCTCACTCTTTCTCTCACTCTTTCTCTCACTTTTCTTTCTCTCTTTCTCTCTCTCTTTCTCTCTCTCTCTTTTTTTTTCTCTTTCTCTCTCTCTTTTTCTCTCTGTCTCGGTGCTTGCGGATGTGGAACATTCT